ATAGGGGGTAGTAGTGCAGATTATTGAGGGGAGACCGGCTACTGCTACTCCTACTCCTACTATTACTCCTACTCCTACTCCTATTGCTACTACTACTACTACTACTACTACTACTACTCCTGCTACTACTACTACTACTACTCCTCCTACGCCTACTCCTACTGCTACGCCTACTCCTACTGCTACGGCTACTGCTACGGCTACCACTACCTACTACCTACTACGTACTACCTACTACTGACTTTCTGATGAAATCCAAACAATGTCTGGCCTATAAATTGCCTTTTTGAACAGCAATTTAAAAACAATCGTTTGAGAAGCTCACAAAGGGTACCCCTCGCAAGGGCCAGTAGTAGCGGCAGCATAAAAAAAACAAGGCTCGGATTAACTGGGGGGGTTTCTGGCACCCAACTAGACAATGAGGAGGAAATAAGCCACCATAATACTACTTTTAATTTGGACAATTTTGGGGCGCTTTGTGGGTTCAGATCAACTAGGGGAGGTTTATTAATCACGACTTTACATTATCGCCCAAAAAGGCCTCTGGCGACTTGACAACCATCCACCCACCATAACATGTTCTCAACATCCAAGGGGCTCTGTCTGAAACGTCTGAAAAATATTCCAGGTGCATGTTTCAACAACCCCCAAAAGCCCAAGACCTCAGGCCCTTACTTGCAGTCGAAGAGTGTATGACACTGCCAGATGCGTGGTTTCAAATCCTTCAACCAAGCCACATCCTTCCTGGACATGAAGATCCACCAGCTTCATTCCGCCCAGCCGACTGAATGATTCAGTCGGGGCCCTGTATTGGTCGATGAAAGGGACCACATTCGTGTCACGGTCATCGGCTGAATTCAGACTCCTCCGCCCAGCTTCAGCAGGGCAGAGGCTCCTCTGGGTGACTTTCAGATGACTTTTGCGGAGAAAAATCGGGTCTTGTGTGTTCATAACTACCTGCTGCACCGCTGGGACGCATAGTGGTCCAAATCCAGAAATGGATCAGATAGAAACTCGTCTTCACGGAAGTTACGTCTTGTTTGATACCTGAACGGTTCTTCCCGTCCCTTTTCCATAGACCATCTCGCGACGTTGAGAGACAATTTTTTTGATATGTTCAACAATAGTTAGTTGTCCTAGAGGTGCAGCAGGTACCCGGAATGCAGAGGTGCAGCAGGTGTTCATTGGTTTTTGTGTCAGGGCAAAGTGCCACCTGGTCAGACTTGTTTTTTAATGCCAGCACTCCAGATCGAACCCCCCCTCTGT